CTTCCTCCCCCGGCGGGAGGGGTCGGCCGAACGCCCCGGCAGGCGTGGGGCCTGCGCTTGGCCCGCGTGCCCGACCGGGGTTCCGGGGTTCTGGTGTGTGTTAGGAGCGGGCTCTCTAGAGCCGGGGGCCTGGGCTGAGCCTTGCCGCTTCGGGAACCAGCTGCGGGATCGCCGGCAAGGTCTCGGCCTCTGTTCTTGGAGTCTCCTCGGGCGGAAAAGAGGGTTCGTGAGGACACGCGTCCGTGCCCGAGAATCGCTCGGGAAAAGCCTGGAATAGGAAGCGTTAGGCGTACGGGCGTTAGCATTTCTCCGGCCTCTGAATCAGGTTGAAAACATAGGGGTAAACGTCTGGCTATTTCACGCTAAAATCCTCTGATAACTGAAGCCAAAAGAAGGTATTCTCCTAATTATCTCAGCTGATTGACTCAGCTCTCCTACGTGTGTGTGTGCGTGTGTGTGTGTGTGTGCGTGTGTGTGTGTGTGCGTGTGTGTGTGCGCGTGTGCGCGCGCAGCGCTGTCTTTGGTTGGACAGGTTTCACCTTCCAACTGCAGGTTTCACCTTCCAACTGCAGGTTTCACCTTCCAACTGCAGGTTTCACCTTCCAACTGCAGGTTTCACCTTCCAACTGCTTGCACCTGCGAGGTTTTCACGGCACAGTTGCAGGGAGCCTGTCCCATCACGTGTCTTCCTTCCAATTCCGTAGCCACGCCTTCGTCCAGGCTGTTGCCTCTCCCGCCGACAGGAGCCAGGACCTTACGGCTGGTCTTTGGCCGATGGCCTCCCCTCACTGTGCTCCCCACTTCTTTCCTGTCTTCCCGCTCTGTGGTCTCCGAATTTATTGTAGGATTTATCACCCCTGTTGATGGATCAGTGTTTCTTAAAAAACTGTTGAGTTCTTGGAAACCAGACATTTTATTTCAGATGTTTCTTCTACTCTAACACTATTTCCCAAACTTCAGCAATCTGCATACCACCTACAGGGTGTTTGCCAATCTGCACCCAGATGTTATTATTCATTCAATATTTTTCTTGAAGGCCAATTTCTTTTTTTTTTTTTTTTCGAGTTGGAGTCTCACTCTGTCGCCCAGACTGGAGTGCAGTGGCCGCTCCCGGCCACCGCAGCCTCGACCCGCTGGGCTCCGGCGATCCTTCCACCTCAGCCTTCCGAGTAGCCAGAATTACAGGCATGCGCTACGACGCCCAGCTGATTTTTTGATTTATTGTAGAGATGAGGTCTCGCTGCCCGGGCGGGTCTCGAACCCGCGGGCTCAGGCAATCCACTCACCTCAGCCTCCTAAAGGCACGGGATTATAGGCTGAGCCACTGAGCCCGGCTTGAAGGCCAATTTCAATTCATTTAACAATATTCGCTAGCTCTGAACCACAGCACTCTGTGAAATCAAGTTTGTTGGGCTGCTTATGTTTATTCTAGCACACGCTCACAAAAATAACTTCAAAAAGTTAAAATCTTCATCCACGTACCACCTAAAATCAAAACGCACTGCATACTGTGACAGGTACACAGAGCATACAGAGGTAGCAATTGGGTGTTCGGTTGACATCGGTGTGAAATGTAGTCATTATAGCTGTATTTGACCATGCTCCATCCAGTGACTCAAGCAATGCCTCCTCCAAGAAGCCCTACCCCCATGTGTAGATTAGATGACACTTTCCTCCTTGTCTTCAGGGATCACTTTGTTCTTGCCACTAGCGTGGTGTTCTCAACAATTCACTGTAATTCTAAGGTGGTGGTGTTGTTTGCTTGCTTGTCTCATACACTTCAGGGCAGGCACTGGAAATTTCTTCTTGTAGATCTTTTATCTCAAAACCTAGTACAGTCACTTGGCAGGTGTTGATTAAATGAATGTGTGGCCTCATTTGAGACTGGGACAAAGATCTGGGTACAGAGAGTTCATTTGGGAAGTGCTTCCGGGCACAGACTTGATGAGTCAGGGAGAGAGAAAAGGTCAATCTACGCTTCCCTGAGTGAAGCCATTGTTTATTCCCCAAGCACCTCTGAGAAACATTCAGAATGCTTCCTGGGGTTATCCATCTCGACGCTAGCTCATTCGTCCACCGCTCCCGCCCTATATCGGTTGAGGGTTTTCTAAGGGCTGTTAACTCCCAGCCTTCCTGAACTGTGTGCGCAGAACAGAGAGCTCTTTCTTAACCTGAGGTCGAAAAGCAGAGCCTGTAGGTTTCCTCGTGGTGGGCTCTAGGCAGCCCGAATCTGAGCTTGCACAGAACTGTCCCTGTGGGGGGGGGACACACACATCCAATGCCTCTGCTACCCAGGTGCTCCTGTTTTTACTTCCAAAAGACTGACATAGACGCTACACAAAAAGAAAGCATTGCATAGCCAAGCCCTAAGCTTAGACATCAGGAATCCTGCCTCTAGCTTAATTTTTTGCCGCTAAATAACTTTAGGTACGTTCTTCCAAGCTAAGTCATGAGTAGAAGCTGGGGACTGCGGCAGAAAGAGGAAACCTTTCCTTTATCCTCCAAGTAAAAGCAACAAGAACAAAACAGCAGTTAAAGTTGGCTCAGTGGTGAGGAGAGGGAAATATACCGGCTAACTCCCCTGCAAACAGCAATGACACTTCTCCCCATCCTCCAGGGTTCATCGAACAGTATTAATTTCTTTTTTTAACTGTTAACTTTTTTATTTTAAAGATGTGGGGTACAATTCAGGGTTAGGTATACAAATGTTCATTATGCAGATACCCTTGTTGATGAGGTGTGCTCCCCCTTCCCCAGGCAGATTCCCACTACTGCCAATCCTTCTCTTATAGTATTTTGATAATTGTGCAAGTTCTGCTTATGAGTGAGAACGTGTGGTACTTAGTTCTTTATTTCTATGAAAGATCACTCAGTATTATAGACTCTAAGTTCATCCAGGTTATTGTAAAGTTCATGATGTTCTTCTTTATGGCTGCGTAATACTCCATCATGTATATGTACCACATTTTTTTTTTATCCAGTCCTCTTTTGATGGGCAGCATGGTTGGTTCCATGTTCTTGCTGTGATAAACAGTATTAATTTCTGAAAAAACATGACAACGATGCGTGGTTTGAACGAAGAAAAGTAGAAATGCAAAACAGGAAGAAGCCAGAAAGAAATTGGAGTATTGATGAATATCCATGTGGAACTGCCCAGGATGGGAACAGAGTCGGATGGAAACAGATCTATGCAAAATAAGAAGGCTTCGAGTTAGAAAGACAGGGGTAGCCAGACATGGAATGCTTCCAGAGGGAATTTAGAAGAACCTTTAAAAATAGTGAAAACAGCCGGGCTCAGTGGCTCAGCCTGTAATCCCGCGCCTTTGGGAGGCTGAGGTGAG